TTCTACAACTATCAAAGAGAACTCAATCTGGAATTTCTCGATTTATTTTCAAACTGCAAACAAATTATTTTTGCAAAATGTTTTTCAAACTTCTTTTAAAAATCTTATTGTTCAGTACCTTGAAGCTAAAAACGAAGTCCAGTAAAAAACGTGAAAAATCATTTCTACCTACCCCTGTTATTCAAAGCCTCTCTTAGATCACAGCCCTCCCCCCCCCTAAATTTCTGGCTGGATCCGCCCTTGTCTTTTGTTAAAAACAATTTGAAAAAGGCCTAGYGAAATGATTTTTAAATCATTAATTAAAATTAAAATTATTTTTCATGAGTTTTACTTTGAGCACTTCGTGTTTTTTCCGTACATTTTGATCCAATTCKAGCAGGTTTTTCTACATGTTTCTAGGCTASTTTTTGTCTTGGGAATCAAAATAAATCGTCCTCCATTTCATCTGGCTGCCTAGCGCTCATCTGCTTTACAAGTGCCCCAGCAACATCTCAAAACCATCTCAACTTTTTCGCCCTGCGAACCGACTTGTTTACATTTTTTGTCGAACAACATGGCTGCCATGTTGATATCAAAGGACAGAGACACGGCTTAATTGGTAGCCCAATGAAAAAAAAAATTGTTGATCATATGTTAAACCTGAAAGATAAGACTAAACAATATGATTTTCCAGTATATCTAAGTATCCTTTTGATCTTAGTGTATTGTTCATGAAGACAAACAAAGAACATTTGGTTGAAATGACTTTAAGAGTTCGAAAATTCCACTAGCCAAGTCCGAGCCCGAGTCAAAACCGAGCCCGAGTCAAATGCAGAGTCAACTGAAAACAAAATACAATATTAAATAACCAAAAAATAAAATATTTTGAGCAAGAAAAAAAGCGTAAAAATAAACTAACACGACTGCTTTGAAAAAAAGCGTAAAAATAAACTAACACGACTCTGCTTTGACCTGCTTTGAATCGTAGCGAAGAGAGACGCGAGAAGACTAAATTAATCACAACATTCTCACCCGAGTCGTTTATTGTTTGCCTTGGAAGCCTTCAAACATCAAACGTGATGTAAACGCCATTTTTTAGCTTGTTTCCTTTCCAATGTGTTCATCATACGACCACAACCACATTACACAGGAACCCCGATTTTTTSGCTTGTCAGGTACAAAACTCTGGGATTCCTGTGCCTACTATAGAAAGGTTAATATAAACCCGCTTTTATCAGTGGATGTAGCAGCCGTGTGTGGAGAGGCTGCGTGACGCGTGACCGAAACTAAACACGGCTGCGAGGAGACTATCTTCTGAATGGATGTTCTTCTGAGTGGATGTTCTTCTGAATGGCATGGACAGAAAAGATCGAGTAATTATGCTTCAAAGTTAATGTAGAATGTGGGGAATGACAAGCAAACCAGTCGATAGCAATAGTGCTAGAGCTTCAAACCGAAGAACATTACAACTGAACTGTTATGAAATTTACAACTTCTACAATTGTGTACAAAAAGCGTGAAGAAACGAAATAATTATACTGCAGTAAAACTACTAAGAACTGTGTTTGGATAACATAAATACCTTGATTTTTGGGGATCCCAACTAATAACGCTGTATTTCAGTAACTTGATTTGAAGGTAAGTTTGTTGAAACACTTTTTTGCGCGAAAACGACGGAAAGATTTAAAGAACAGCGAATGTTACGTAATTTTGCATGCTTGCGTGACATTTATGGTCGACTAAAGAACGTTACTTAGCAACAAGAAAATCAATCAAACAAAAGACAAATACARAAAATATTAATGTTAACTTTAATGTGAAAATGGGGAAATGTGGCCATTGTGTAATAATAAACCTGACGTCATATCAAAATATAACAGCTTATATTATAATAATACTGTTACTTGAACAAGATAGTATTCATACATTGTTTTCTATTAATAACTTGATATAATGCTTCTACTAAGCCTTTGATAAAATCTTTTTTTTCGGTATATCAACAGGCATTATTATAATGTCAACAGTAACTATTCAATAAACTTCAACTAAACTATAAACTATTCAATGAAAATAAACATAATACAATCTTTGTATTATGAATATTTGTACTATGAACTTACTCTAATGGTAGGTCGAGAAAATTTATAACCTTCCACTCATCTTCAGAAAATGTGGCTGTGGGGTCAACACCAAATGAACTTGGCGGCTCTMTAATTGTGCTCCCTCGTGGAGGATCAGCAATACACTCCCACTTCAAGCAGAAGTGGAAGGTCCGTGGAACAGTGAAGCTTTGCCCATCCTTATTCTTGTGGGGGGGTGTCCACCTTGCTAAACAAGTAATCTTCAAATCGCCCTTTAAAAGCTCGCAGTGGCAGGTTGGACACCTTGGCTTCGTATTGAGCATGTGCTTGGTGATTAACCACTTGCATCCACTCTTGTTTCCTTCCTTCGGTGGTGTCTGTCTTGCACTGCGCTTGGAAAAGATTTGCTCTAGCTCATGACCTGTAAACCCTCTCTGATGGAGTCGATAATCAGACTCAGGCACTTTAAAGTGGTTTAGTAGTAACCAAATGATGTGACAACAGACATCTCTGTCGTTACAGTACCTGCACGAACAGTTTGGATTTTGGTTTATTTCAACATCGTATGTTGTTCCAGAAGCCACTGCTAAGATGAACTGGCGTCCATGGTCATTGATCACAACCTCACTCTTGATTGACACAGATTTTAGATTTTTTGCAATGTTTAGCACTCGGATAAAGTTTTTGCTCCGTGTATTTCTTAAGCTGCATGGCCGTTTTACTGCTTTAGAGACTGGTTTAGCTTGTTTTGCTGTGGACTTGCGAGGATCATGTCTGTGGGATGATCTTTCATTGATGTATGTTACATGGCTTTTGGGTATAGGTGCTTTTTCCACACTCTCTTCCTCAAGATATTGCATAAGTTCTTCACTAAATGCTTGAGCTCTCTTATCTTGTTCTGCATAGTTTCGTTCGGAAAGAGAATWTTTGCTTGGGCCTTTACCACTGTATGTACCTTGTTCATACTCTTTTAGGTTGGATTGTAATTGGAGATTCTCTGCTACATCTTGTCTTGCAGCATCAAGAAGATCTAGGTGAACCAAGCCACTGTTTTTCCACGATGAATGACCGGCCTCTGCCAGATTTACCCTTGGAGCATTTAGGGAAGGTCGGAAAGCCCGGAACACATGGTGCTTTCGCTGTTCCCACCATGTCCACCAATTTACTACATCTTTCATAGGATACTTCTGTTGAAATTGCTCCAGTTGATTTTTTGCTACTTCGAACATGTTTGGTGTAGCTGCCTTCAGTATCCCTTAAAAAATGACAAGCATTAATTAACAAACATGACAAAGGCATTGTTAAATACATTTTGACAGGGAGTTCAAATGATTAGATGACAATATTAACTTTTACTCATAGATGAAATGTGCTAGACGGGCTACAAATGTAACCAAAAAAGTACAGCGTTCAGAGTACAGAGTACGGTCTCTTTGCAAACAACCCAACTTTGGATAGGGGAGCGGGTTGTTCCCAAAGGTTTTGTCGAGAGCTGTAGCTAACATATCCTTTCAGCAAAGCAACTAAAAGACTTTTTGTAGATGTATACATACCATGAGTGATATTCTTGAACTCTTCACTTACATCTGGCCCATATGCAGACTGGATAGATGTAACATTTCTCTTCACTGTGAACGTCCAGTGTTTCTCGCAGCTGATTGTCCTCTCTATCACTCCATCGGCCAATTCCAAAGGGATTGAAGACCACCAACCACCTCCTTCGTCTATCATTATTCCATAAGGGTTGAACTTGTAAGTATCATCCTTTGAAACTTCCCTGAGAGCGTCATTTAGTATGCTCCAAAACATCCTGATATTTGTTTTCCCCTCACTCTCTGTTTCCATGGTCGCAAGCTTTACAATTTGTCTTAGTAGAGGGTGGTATACCTGTAATAAATAAATCATTTGTCAAATTGGCACATAAGTCCACTGAGTGTCATTTGTCAGAAAATGGCATTTCAAGCAATTTTTGTTTGCTTGATACACAGCAGGTCTTAGTCACCACAGCTCATTACGCTACCCAGAGCCCTTTGCAATCCAAAATCAAGATGTTGACTACTCGTTGAAAAGGATGTGTATTTCGCGTTTTGTGAGGTTTTTGTAACAACAGGAGCTTCCAAAGAATACTGAATCCTCTGATGTTATCGTATATTTTATATGGTAATTAATGGATTCTTAGCTTCCATTTCATTCATTATTTGTACTTTTTTGAGGCTGAAGTAGACTGCAGTTTTGCTCTGCATTCTTACACATTCTTATACTTASCCATAATGTCAACGTGATGTAACCTGGACATCTCTTGTGGTTGCCATCAGCAAAGCACATTTCTTTTGCAAGTAGACCATCCTTGTCCATGTCCATGTCTAGTGCCATTTCAAGAAGTTTCTTACTGGTTTTGAAGACATATGATGGACCACCTGAAATTTAACAAATAAAATATTCATGTACAGTCCACAATGGAAAAGTTGAAGGTATGCAAAAAAATTATCAATGTAGGTTAATACACCTAAATACAAATATAACACATTAATTGTACATATTAAAAAATTAAACAGCAATAAACACATTACAAAGCTAGGTTTTCAAAATGCAAACAGTCCTGTCATTTTTTTAGAAAGTACGCAGTCCAGTCATCCTCTAGAGAATTTTGCTCAAATGGTCAAGGGTGGTGTGGTGAGTCAAAACAATTTCAAGGATACTGTACTATGTCCAATTCAAAATAAATTATGTGTACCTGCCAGTTGTCCATTTTGTGCTTTGTAAATTAAATACTTGTCCAGGCGATCAGTGGTGGCCTTGTATTTTGCAATTGCATCATAACTGTGACCACATGGGTTCATGCTTTTTTTGACTTTTTCTTTCAGCCGTTTCATCTTTTCTGGTGCCAGACTGGACGACAGGTCCATGATGTCATCAATACTCTTACCCTGCTCAACTGCCTCGATGATCTGGCTGTTTGTGTATGCCTTGGGTCCTAGCTTTTTCATGGTCTTAAATGTGGAAGTGGCATCATCACATCTTTCCTTATGGTATGCTTTTGGGACACAGGTATGTGTTCCCTCATGATACACTACAACAGTGTTCTTGTTGTCGTCAAACTCCCAGACCTTACTAGCCCCACATGGAACATGTACCACAGGAGCACCACAGCTGTGACACACCTTCTCTCCAGATTTGAATTCAAACTGCGCCATGTTTCGTTTGGAGAACTGACGCAGGTATGGGCAGTCATCGTTCACACATTTGGATGATCCTTTACATCTGGCCAGGCGGCGAATTCCTGAAAAGCCCTTTCTCCTGGATGTCATAAAACCAGCCCATGGACGCCCATCCCTTGTCGATTCCATTCTGTTGTCTTTCTGAAAAGTAAGTTGGTACATGGCCAAGCCATCGATGTTGTAAGGTAGTTCACTGACTTGCTGCAGTTCTACGTCCAGCCACAAGTCCGGAGTCAGCCTCATGTTCTTTCTATATAAAAATAGAGAATGACCACATAAATAAAAAAAATAACATAGTATATTGTAGTAGATAAGCTGGCGGTCAAAATATAAACACCCACTTCTTCCAAAGACCTGATATCTACTGACAATAAAAAGCTTTAAAAGTACATAGACCATTTCCGAATTCAAACAATACCATATTTCTCATGGAGAACAA